AAAGATTCGTCTCACGATTTCTCGGCTAACTGTGTAATTAGTTTTTTTTTCGTCTACATTTAGTACTCCATGCATGTGCCGCAAGATTTGATGTGACGGGAAATCTTGAAAATTTTTGGTTTTTGGCTTGGAACTAAACGGGGCCTTAGTTGCCTCAAATTCCAGAATTTGGCACTATGCAAAAAGAAGATTACCCGTCACATCAAACTTGCGGTACATGCATGAAGTATTAAATGTTGACGAAATCAAAAACTAATTACACAGTTTGGTTGTACTTTGCGAGACGAACGTTTTGAGCCTAATTAGTCAACGACTGGATAATTATTACCAAATAAAAATAAACGCTACTATGTAGCTACAGTATCCAATTTTCCGGCGGAGCCGAATCCGGCAGGAACTAAACATGGCCAGGTTTGGACGTCATATGCGGTTTCGTTCGGGGCCAGGTTTCGCAGGTTTAGACGTTTAGTAGCACTGTAGCAGCTACGTCCAGATGACTTTTTTTCCCTGATTCCTCAAAAAAAAAAGTCCAGATGATCTTTTTTGTTTTTCAGATTTTTTTTGCGAGGAGTTTTTTCATCAGATCATATAAAAGAAACATATCCAGGTGAAACTTTGTTTTTGTTTTTCGGATCGGTTGGTTGGTTTCTGGTTGGTTTCCAATTCTTGCCTAACTAAATTCATGGCAAGCCAAAACATTTAGTTATCAATTGGTTCATTGCCAAAGAATTGACACATCAATTTGAAGTGGACTGTGACGTCTAAGAGGGGGGTTAATTAGGCAACTTAAAATTATAACTCTAAACTATGGCCTCTTTTTCTACCTCTAACAAAACCTATGTAAAAGATAAACTATCTAAATGTGCAACTATGATTTTGCTAGTGTGTTGCTATCTCTACTGCAAAAGGAGTAAAGTAATCAATGTAAATGTGAAAGCTAAACAACAAGGTAGAAATATGCAAACTCCCGTCGACGGCTCCGGTATTTTTACCCAGGTATCGAGAAGCGCGCAAACTTCTTCCTAGTCCTCGTTGGAGCCCCTCGCAAGGAATCCCTCGCAAGGGCCAAGCTCCCGGTCGGATAACTCCGTGGATAGCCTCGGGCCTTCCCCACACGCAAGTGGGTCTCCGACGTGCCTTCCGGCAAGCCTCTCCCGGATGCTCCCCGCCATCTTCACTATCAAGCTTCAGGCCGAAACGCCGCGGGCCTTGTTCCCTCCGGTACACGGTGGCGGCCACACCACAAATGCGGTTGGTGTGATCTCGCAAGACTACAAGCCCCTCCGATGTATAACAATGGTGCGCACAAGCACCGAGTGGTAAGAGCTATGTAAACCTCACTAAACACTAGGCCTAAACCTAGAGCAAGCGCATGAGCGGTGGTCTAATCAACCTAAGCACTTCGCAAAACACCTACGCTAATCACCTAATGAATCACTAGGCACTATGCAAGTGGAGATCACTAAAATAGTGTATCAACACCCTTGATATGTTTTCTCGGCTCTACACACCTCAAATAGCCGGTTGGGGGGGTCTATTTATAAGCCCCACGGAGAAAGTAGCCGTTGGGATGAAATCCCGCTTTTCTGCTACTGACCGGACACTGGAGTCGTCCTGATCGGACGCGTCCGGTCGTCCCAACCGTTGGAGCTGCGATCAACTGATCGGACGCTGCCAGCGTCCGGTCACTTGCCACCGGACGCGTCCGGTCGTAAGTTCGCCGCTCTAGAACCTCTCTGTACTCGATCGGACGCTGCTGTCCTGCGTCCGATCGATTTGCCGCCAGCGTCTGGTCACTTGCTGAATGTGTTGCCGGTTGATGAACAGTGCCATCGGTGCGTCCGGTCGATCCACTTGTTCAGCGTCCGGTCGCTGCTGCTGAAGCCTTCTGTTGCCAAGCCACTGATCGGAGCGTCCGGTCACTTTTCTTCAGCGTCCGATCACTTCTGTGAGCTCGTTTCTTCGTAATCTTGCGTACGGCTTGGTTCCTATCTTCGTGCTTGTACTTTGCTTGATATCTTAGGTATTCTCTTGTGCTCCTAAGGTTTTGCTTGTGGTGTCGATCCTCATATCATCACATCGCCTTTGTCCAAGTCACGTCTTGCATCCTATTAAACTACACAACAATCACTTGTAAATTCATTAGTCCAATTTAGTTGTGTTGGTCATCAAACACCAAAATCCAAAGTAAATAGGCCTAGGGTCCATTTTTCTTACAATCTCCCTCTTTTTGGTGATCGATGACAACACCGTGGATGGGAATCACCGATGGTGGATGGATGGATAGGGCATGGTAGTTTTCTTTATGCATGTGGTGGTTTTTTTAATAGGTGAATCCTACTGAAAAAGTTGATCTCAAAGCCATGATTATATTTTTTTAGACAAGATTTGAACCACGGGATTACGTTTTGTTTAGAACGGAGGGAGTAGAATGACCCACCATTTTTTTTTGTCATGCGTGGTGTAACCGATCAGGCGAAACTGCCTCCCTAGTAAACAGTAAGCATAACATTAGCATGCTACTTTTTTTTTCTGGCAAAAGAACACATTAACATACTTCCTGACTGAATAAAACAAACAAAATTCATGGGACAATTTCTTATGGATATCTATGGCAGATTCATGACATATGTCCTGTATCCAGCGATCGGGAGGGTTATTCTAAATTTATACAGTGTCCATGACTAGTTCCCATCATTTTTTGTAAAAAGAAAAACTACTAATTGATATAATATATTATATTAAACAACATACTGTTAGTGAACTGCAGATATTCTGAGGCTAGTAGGTGCGTACACCAGGCAGCTTGCAGCCGGCAAAGCACAGCTGCACAGGCGGGCCGGCCAGTAACGAAACAAGTGGTAGTTTTCCGTTTTCCGCCGCCCAAATCCGGCGCTGGTGACCGGGCGGCCCCTCCCGCTGTGCACGTAAGCAATATCCAAATCCCCGCGCGGATCCGGCTGTCGTGTGCGCGCTGCCGCCGCCGTGGCAGGCAAGGAAGGAAGACGCGGGGCAGGTGCGGTGCGCCCGCCCGTCCCCCTCACCTCACCAGTCACCCCGGCCCCGCCGCCGAAGAAAAGCCCTTTGTTTTTTCCCCCATCCACCCATCCGCGCTCCACTCCACGGTGGCCCTCGCCTCCTCTGAACCCGTCGCCGTCACACGCCTCGCGCGGCACCGCACCGCGGGCCACGCGGCTCGCGGCGGGACCAGAACCACCGCCGGGCCCCGCGGGACCGCCACTACTCGTCTCGCTCGTTGGGGCGTGACCGCGACGCGTCGTGCCGCGCCCGCCCACCCGCGCGTCTCTGGAAATTGCGACGTCTCTGCATGGCTCGTTCGTTGGGCCTTGGGCGGGCGGGCGTCGTGGAGTGCGGCCGAAAGCAACCGGGACGGACGGTGGGCGGAGCGGCGGCAGGCACACCGTTGGGTTGGTTGGTTGGTTCACTCGCTGCGCTGCCGCTCCAAGACGTTGATGTGCTGCACGCAACGACCGGCGCCAAGTTGCACTTTCAGGCACCGTTCACTCCATTGCTTCGGACGTGTGGACGGGGAAGTGATTATGCCAAGATGCGCAGCTGGGTGAAGCTTTTCCTATGTGAGCATGTGTGTTGCAGAGCCACGCGGAACCGATTCGTGCACGTTGGTTTGGTTTCTTTTAACGGTACATACTGCCTTTGGATGAACCTAGGATGAAGATGCAAACCTACTCGGTTGTGACTTGTGAGTGCAGATATATCAGCTAAGGCTGTGTTTAGTTCGCAAAATTTGAGAATTTGGTTACTGTAGCACTTTCGTTTTTATTTAGCAATTAGTGTTCAATCATGAACAAAATTTGGGAATGATGGCTACTGTAGCACTTTTTGAAAACTAAGCACAGCCTAAGTTCAAGCTCTCGTCAAGACAGATTTAGGTATTTACTTGGAGTTGATTGCTCAGCTGGGTTTCAGATGAAGGCCTCGTTTAGATTGTAAATTTTTGCAACCTGGACACTGTAGCACGTTTCGTTTGTATTTGATAAATTTTGTCTGATCATGGACTAACTAGGCTCAAAAGACCCATCTCGTGATTTACAACCAAACTGTGTAATTAGTTATTTTTTTAACTATATTTAATGCTCTATGCATACGTCTAAAAATTGATGTGATGAAGAGAGAGTAAAAAAACTTGGAATTTGGAGGAGATCTAAACAAGGCCGAAGACGCTATGCAGCTGGACGAAGAGTGACCTGACCGGCTATCCTAAGCTCCAAGCAAACACCCCTTTGCATCAGGCTCACTTGACCTGGATCATAGACATGAAAGCCTTGTTTAGTTGGAGAAATTTGGATTTTAGGGTTACTGTAGCACGTTCGTTTTTATTTGACAAATAGTGTTTAAATATGGACTAATTAGACTTAAAACGTTCGTCTCGCAATTTCCCACTAAACTGTGCAATTAGTTTTTCTTTTCGTCTACATTTAATGCTCCATGCACGGGCCGCAAACATTCGATGTGACAGGTACTGTAGTAACTTTTTGAAAGTTAGGGTGAAAATAAACTAGGCGGAAAAGAAACGGTACAGGTACAATGCATTCCAAAGGACCACGGAGACTGAACAAGTGAGGGAAAAAAATACGGTTACCGGCCACACACGGACACGCACCCGTACAACTCACGCACTGAGTGAGCGCATGCAACGCAAGCAGCCGCGGCATTCCATGTACGGGCGAGCAAACGTCGGAGGCCAACGCGGGACGGCCGCCCCCATCTCCCTCCACCTCCGTCGCTGTGGGCGAGGCGCCTGTGGCTGTGGGTCAAACCTCCCCTCCCGCTGCCTCCTCCTCACCTCCCGCCTCCCCTATTAATACCGCGCATCCACCTCCCTTTCCTCCCCGCACTCCAGCCCTGCCTGCCCAGCGCACCACCACAACCACCACCACCATCACCGCCGAGCGCTGCGCCGCTGCCCAACACTTGGCATCGTCCTCCGCCGTCGTCACTCGCTCGCTCCTTTCCTTTCCATGGCTCCCAAGAACGCTCTCCCCGCCGCCAGCGCCGTGACCGACGGCATGATGGAGCCCAGGTTCCGCGGCGTCCGGAAGCGCCCGTGGGGCCGGTACGCGGCGGAGATCCGGGACCCCGCCAGGAAGGCCCGCGTGTGGCTCGGCACCTTCGACACCGCCGAGGCCGCGGCGCGCGCCTACGACGCCGCCGCGTTCCACTTCCGCGGGCCCAAGGCCAAGACCAACTTCCCCGTCGCGTTCGCCGCGGCCGCGCACGCGCACGCGCTCGCGCTCCCGCTGCCGATGCCGCCGCCGACCAAGAAGCTCGCCGTGAGCCCCAGCAGCAGCACCGTAGAGTCCTCCGCCCGGGACTCGCCCGCCACGCCGCCCAGGGCTCCATCTCCGGCCCCGACGGTGATGCCCGCGCCGTCGCTCAACCTGAGCCTCAGCGTGCCGGCCATGGTGGCCTCCCAGCCGTTCCTGTTCCTGGACCCGAGGCTCGCGGTGACCGTGGCCGTGCCGGCGCCCGTGCCCTGCCGGCCGACCGCTGTCACAGCAGGCGCCAACAAGCAGGCGGCACCAGCATCCTGCCGCGAAGACGAGGAGCAGAGCGACACCGGGTCGTCGTCATCCGTGGTGGACGCCTCCCCGGAAGCGGTCGGCGTGGGGTTCGACCTCAACATGCCGCCGCCGGCCGAGGTGGCGTAAGTGGTGGACCAGCCGCTTCGCCCGATGACACGACGGCTCCTCCAACGGGGTCGCGTACGCGTAGATGATTAGCACTTGTATTAGTATGAGGTTGGATGCTCGATCGTTTAATTTGCCGCGATGAGTTACTACTAGGTGTACATAGATGTTCTTTTTGCATCGGCGGCTAGGTATAACAAAAGCTACTGCTTGCCGATGTTACAAAACAAAATACTACCAAAGCGTTTTGTCCTTCGTTGTTTGTAACATATTAATTTGCTAATTAACGAGAGATCTTTTGCTCCTATATATATGTTGTATATGTTTTTTCTATCTAGGTTCCTGATGATTTGACTATGTTTGTAAGAGTTTCGAGTTATGATCATTCAATCAATACCGTGCGCAAATCTTATTTTTGAATCTGATAATTTGATCTCAGCAGCCTGCTTCATCAAGAAATATACTGCGCAAAAACCAAAAGTCTTCTTCTTCTTGGCAAGCTTAGCACCAGATCGAGCAAATCATCAACAAGTGCAACACCCTGTTGCTTACTTACAGTGCAAGCATGCAAACGTTGTTGAACCGTTGGTTCTCTGTGTGAATTTCCGTAGAGGACCGGCTTGACAAGCACGGACTGATGAGAGGACGACGACCTGGGACGAGACGACGCGGAAAGCCACCGCGCGAGCTCGGAGGCTGGGTCGCGCCGCGCGGCGAGCTGGCGAGTGTTCCCCGACTCCGAGAGACGAACTGGTTCACCCGTACACGCGCTGGCGTCAGTGCGTCACGTCGCTCCCGCGCACGCCGCGACGCAAGCATAGCAGCCAGTCGGGATCGCCAGCGCGCCCCGCGGCCCCACGCGCGTTTGACGGCTTCCTTTTTTTTCCTTTTTCCTGTCGCTCGCGCAGGCGCTACTACGCTTCGGACCGCGGCAAGCTCCCCGCCACGACCGGACGAGACGACGCGGAAAGCCACCGCGCGAGCTCGGAGGCTGGGTCGCGCCGCGCGGCGAGCTGGCGAGTGTTCCCCGACTCCGAGAGACGAACTGGTTCACCCGTACACGCGCTGGCGTCAGTGCGTCACGTCGCTCCCGCGCACGCCGCGACGCAAGCATAGCAGCCAGTCGGGATCGCCAGCGCGCCCCGCGGCCCCACGCGCGTTTGACGGCTTCCTTTTTTTTCCTTTTTCCTGTCGCTCGCGCAGGCGCTACTACGCTTCGGACCGCGGCAAGCTCCCCGCCACGACCGGACGACCCCGAGCAACACGAGGCAAAGGCGCGCGAGGCGGGTTGGGAATTGGGATGGGTCCCCGGCGCCGCGTGCCCGCGTCCTCGTGGAGTCATGTGATAGAGTATCAGGCTAACCTATGAGCTTCCGCGCGGCACTGGACTGCTCGGCACCGGCGGAATTCTCTCTCTCTTTTTTTTTTGAAAGGCATCGGTGGATTATTTTGTTCAGGCGGCGGTAGCTTTGGGAGCTCTTGGCCTCTTGCAAGCAACCGTAAAGCGTAAACCACCTCTGCTTTGCCTCTGGGTTTGCTTGGATTGGTCCAATACAATACGTAGCGCAAAAATACGAACGCAAAAAGTGATGATAATTCACCGCGCTCTTATAGAAATTCCTCTAAAGCTGAACACTGGGATATTCTATTTTTTATACATGTATACCGATATAATACTACATGAGATTTGTACATAGAATCATGGTATTCACGTGAATACCCCTAGCCACGCTGACTACCGTGAGCCGAAGGAAAACTTCATTTCGCTGAGCGAAGCCCCTAAAATGCCAAGCTGCTAAAGTCTCGCAAAAATGATTAAAAGAATTCGTGAAACAAGCGACCAAGCTCGAGCTGAAAAAAAATTGACGGCAGTTGTTGGGGCGTAGGGAACGGCGGGTCGGATTTGTCCGAGAATCCAGTGACATGTTGGTGGTTGCCTGGCTGGTTTTACTCCTTGCAGGAGGTGATGATACGCATCGAGTCAAGCTGGGGGAAAGACGGGCAGTAACTCGGATGTTTTTGGCCATTTTAGCTGAATCTTCTCACAGGCGAGGCCAGGCCAGGCCACACGGTGGTCTATGCTCAGACTCGAATCGTTAATTCAGCATGTTCGCTTATTGTTTCAGCCAATCAGTCAACGATGCTTTTCTCTCACAACAAACTAGTATCAGCCAGATTTATCAGCCCAGAAACCAACCATCAGCAAACAGACCGAATCACGTATGCACTTTGGAGGGAAACAGCAGCTATCGTGAGCAGAGCACACAAGTTGGCGCGGAAAGGGAAAGCACACATGGTCTCCGCCGTCCCCTCCTCGAGTCAGTCTCCACCGCCAGGTTTTGCCTGAGCTGATAGCTCGATCCGGATTGGAGCCGGCCAGGGCCAGTCGCCCAGTCCATAGGGGAGGCGGCAGTAGCATCGCACCTTTCCTTTCCGATTCCAAAGACGCCCAGCCACACGCGAGGCGGCGAGTGCCCGCACGGAACCGCCACCCCTCGGAGGCGTCGGCGGCTTTGGATCTCGGGCGGCGCCGGGGCCAGAATAAACAAAAGGAGCCGCCGCCTTTGCACGAGGCGGACTGGCGTGCGGACCCAACCCAACCTCCCAGCGGAGACGGCGAGCGGGCGCGGTGCCCACGCTTCCACGGGAAAATTAGGTGGCGCCTCGGATCGTGTCGGCCGCCGGGCCACCAGCGTCCTCCCGCCGCCTGCGGGACAGCGCACGAAACCTGGCGCCGCAGCGGCGGGTCAACAAAGCACGCTGCCTACAGCCTAGTAGAGATCTACGAGTCCGCAGCACTCGGTGACGCGACCTCGTCCGATCGATCCAACCCGGCCGGCACCGGCAGTGCGGGTGAACGGTTAGCCAACCGACCTCTCTCACCTTCGTGCCGTCGGATCATGTCGATCGAGGACGAAAAGGCCAAGTCCAGGATCAGGACCACGGGTGGCCGAGCGGATGGACAGGCCACAGGCCTAGCTAGAGCCCTCGATCGAGCACCCATCTGCCCAGCCAGCTGCGCACGCGCACAGCCGCGGCGCCGACGGCATATCCTGCAGCCACGCACTACCGCCGCTTGGCGCACGACCCGTGCCCGATGCCGTGGAGGCGCGGGCAGCTCGCTTCGGCTCCACGTTTCGGCGCCGCGGCGCGCGCTAAGCGACGAGCGGCGCGGCGGCACAACTACTCCCACCGAGGCAACACGGCCGGTGTGGTGTGTTGCCCGCACCGCACGACCGCTGCCATGACGCGAACGAGCCCGGAAGCCTAGAACTTGTCCTCTCTGCCCAAATCTGCCATTGCAATCTCAGCCTTTTCTTCAGTAGTTTGTAGCACGCCAATTAGCGAAACAAAAGACAATCGACCACCTCAGGCATCCGCAACGGATACAGATTGCCGTGGCAAACAGCTAACGGGCACAGGCGACTTCTTCTAGCATTTCGTGAGGATCTCGGCTCCGGTCCTGGTGATCAGTATCGTGTGCTCGAACTGCGCCGTCAAGCTGCCGTCCGTCGTCACGGCAGTCCAGCCGTCGTCCCACATGTCGCAGTCGATGCTCCCCATGGATATGATCGGCTCTGCACAAGAAAGTTAGGCGGCGCTAGCATCAGTCAGGAAGGCAAGAACACTGCTACACGTCGACAGCAAAGAGGACTTGGCTGGCTTTACTCCGCGTGCAAGACGTGGAATGAGTTAGGAAGCTGCGAACCTATTGTGAATGTTTGCCCTTCAATCATCTGACCCGGCCTGTTGTTCCCTGTTGCAAGCACATCACAACAAGGTCTAAAAATTGCACACTAAAATAAGAAAACAAGAACAAAAAAAACCCTACTATTACAAGATCAATATCTCAGAGATCTTACAAATTTATCATTATGACTCTACTATTATCCTTCCTTTTGTAGTTTTGTGGCATACATATAAGCATGACAGACTTAGTGGGACTCTGCTCTTATAATTTTCATGTTTTGGCTAGGCACATGGTAGTCCCAGTTTGTATAAGAGGACTTAATATCAATCGAATTAATTATATACTAAAACAGAAAGTCTGCAGTCTGGAGGTTTTTTCTTTTCTTTTCTTTTTCAATAGAGAAACACAGAGAGACATCTAAACTTCAACATAATTTGCTTTTCACCTAAGCAATGCTTATCCATTAATCCATTAAAATGTTTATTCTCAGGAGAAAATCTACAGCCTACTGTTAAATCTTAAAGTACTAGTGTGCTAAGCCTTTGAAGTCCTCAACTACAATATGCACTGCCTATCATCTATCGCCAAAAAACATTGACTTGCGCTGATTATAGATAAGTGGTTCTGAGTGAAATACTCTGCCAACTCCATGCCCAACAAAACACTCCACAACACCAAATCCGTTCCTCTCAGCATGCTCACTGAAATGTTCAAACAAATCAATGGGTAAACGTTATTAAAGTAATATCTAAGATGAAGTAAATTTTGGTATAGCCACACCAAATCATGTAGGACAACGGACAAGATTAACAGTAAACTTGTTTTCAAATTCGTTTAACATGCGAGAGACACTGGGTGAATGATTGTGTAAAAATATACATCTCTACTCCTATTAAGACGAAACTGGCATCGTCCACACCCTGGCTTCGTTCTGCCCCCGACTTGCACGAGCCCTCGACTCCCCGCATCCTCTCGCGCCGACAGGTAGGACCAAGCCCCCTCTGTTGTCCCTCTCACTCCCTCCACGATCCCATGCTCCCACCCGACCTCCCCTGCGTCAACCAAAAGCTCACCCCTCCCAACTCCCCGTGTCTCCCAAACCCTAGACCCGCGCCCCTCGTCCTCGCCCTCACCTCGGAGGCCGGAGCGTGCGTCGCCCTCACCCGTGCGCCCCCGACGCCGTGCGGGGTGCTCCCTTCGCCTCGCCCCCGATGCCGACGTCGCCTGGCGCCGCCGCCGAGCAGCCCCGACGCGGACGCGGGAAATGGCACCCGCCTCTCCGCCTCCTCCTCCTGTGGCGGCGACAGCACGTGGACCCCGCCCTACTCGA